TTCCAGGGTGGCCTTAAAATGTTGTTTTGGATTCCCTAGCGCAGTTGATTATTTGTATGATTCCATTGGAAGAACAGGAGTGAGAGTTTCCGAAAACAGCCACAGGGGCAAATGTGAGACAAGCTGAAAAGAATGGTGTATCTAAGTGAGAACAAGAATGCCTGAGATGAAAGTTGCTGTCTGTGAAAAGTGTAAGAGGCTGCCACCAGGTAGGGCTTAAGAATATTCAGCATACTTTAGATATGGCATTTCTTCCTGGAGGTGAACTGCAAAGATTTCCCCAGTTTGCGGGAAAGTGATGCTTCGTAGTACCACTAAAACAATGCTAATTGATGGGGCTGGATGGGTAAGGATACAGACTCATCATTTCCCCTGGAGCAGCTAGCGGGCAAAAGTCCTGTGCCACCACTGAAGGGAAATTGCTCTGAGTACAGGCTGTGCAGGTGCTGCCTTGAATTGGATGCTGGGTGGTCTGCGGACCCTGCACTTTTGGCCCCTTGGAAGTTTCAGGTCTAGCCTTGAACTTTAGGGAGAGCTTTGCGTCCTTTATAAAATTCTTCCAAATCTATGTTATGAGTCTTTTCTGTTCTTTAAGGAAGGGCATAGGCATGGAAACATAAATGCCAGGAAGAGGCTCCTTTAAAAAAAAAATCTGTGTTTGGTTATAAACATACCTTTCCTGAGGCAAGAAAACAGAAGAGCCTAGTTGCTTAAATGGGAAGAGAAAAAGGGGAAAAAATAATGGAGAAAATATTGGTTTCATTAAAAAGATATACTATCTTGTTATATCAGTTCTGTATATTTTTGAAAAAAAGTCCCAGGTGCCCTGGAGAGATGACGCCTGTATCAGTGAAGCTACCAGGCACTGTGTCCCCAGCATGGATGACCAGGCAGGAGTGTCTGAGGGAGCGAAAGGAGTGTCCAGGCCTCAGCCTCAGCCTATACAGGCACCATGGTGCAGGGGTGAAGAGGAAGGGCAGGCTCGCAGGGCTTTTTGGCTCANTATCTTTAAAACCAGAATGTTGTGATACTGACCACCTGATTACTTACAATGATATATTTTAAATTCCTGAATGTATTTTTTAGCAAGTTTGAGCATTCATTTTTAGAATTCTCTTGCCATTAACAGATATTGGTTCATTCCTTTAATTAACGATGTTGAATTTTGATGTTGTAATTCAGAAGTTTCTTATCAAAACTAAAAGAAAATTAATGTTTTAATTTTGAAGTCATTTAAAAGTAAAAATGACTTTTACGATTGAAGGGTACAGCAGCAGACTCAGGCAAGACACTCGCTGAAATCAGTGACCGATATGGGGCACCCAACCTGAGCAGAGTGGAAGAAGTTGACGAAACAGTGCTATCTGATGTAAGTGTCTTTAGAGAGTGTTTTGTGAAAACCAGACCTTTTTATTTCAGGAAATCCTAGTCCATTCGAGGCCAGGGTCAGTTGGCCAGTGGGCCTTTTGCTTTATAGAAAGAAAACCAGTTCCCTCATGTGGTGCTGACTGTATCCCTAACTGGCCCTCTGCACTTCTGTGAATGTGTGCAGCTGGCCACACGGCGAGGGCAGGCACATGTCCGGCTCCTCACAAATGTGTTGCCACTTGTGCGAAAGTCACTGGGAGTTCATGCTGAGGTAGCAGTGTGCCTCTTGTGTAGAGGGTGGTAGATATATTTTGGAGTTAGGCTTTGAAATTTTCAAAATGTGTATTTACAGTCATTTGGTGAAAGGCATAATCTTTAAATTTTGGGGGGCAACATTTTGGTTCTCAGTAGCAAACCCTTGAACCAAATAAGTATCTTCATGAAAGTGCGTGCTTTTACAGGATACAAGTACATTTGTTTATTTAATAAACATACAGTGTTTTCTACATGCCAGGCACTGTGCCTGATGCTATGGTGCATAAAACAGATAATTTTTTACCTTAGCTAGGGGAGAAACAGACAATTGGACAAGTAATTAATAGTCATTGTTAGAGTAACCAGGTAATTTATTGCCCAAGCCAGTACGCTTTAAGAGTGAATGGAAGAGCTATGGATAACTACGCAGATTGGCAGGCATAATGCAGAACTGT